AGGTGTGAGTTGATGAGCTCAGTTTGGGACCCATTGACTTGAGGAGCCTGTGACACATACCAGTGAAGAGTCTGCCAGTCACTTAAGTACATAAAGAGATCTGGAACTCAGTTGGGAGGCCCAGACTGAGGAGACGGATTTGAGAGTCGTGTGCCTAGAGATGTAATTTGAAGTGATGGGGTGAATGAGGTCATCCAGGGATTACAAAGCATGACAAGAGAACTGAGAATGGGAAAACGACCTGCAAAGGCAGTATCCTGCAAAGGCAACTGAGGATTCAGAGAGTGTGGAGTAGAACCAGGGGAGACTGGGGTTAGGGAAAGAGTTCTGAGAAGAGTCAGAGTCATTCACAATCCATCAGAGACCGAGCATGGTGGGATGGTGAGCTAACCACTAAATTTGACAACAAGAGATTATTGGTGACACCTTGGAGCACAGAGGAGAACAGGATCCATGCCCTTGGCTTAGTGGGGGAAACCCTGGACTTTGGAGTTATATACAGATCCCATTCCTATCCCTATTTAGCTTTGAGACCTTCAATAAATGAGCAAACCCTTCTAAACCTTAGTTTCTTCATCTGAAAATTGTGGATAATGATGACCTCATGAGGATCTTAAGAGGATTAAAACAAAGAATATAGGCCGGGTGTGGTGACTCACACCTGTAATTCCAGCAGTTTGGGAGGCCAAGGTGGGAAGATAGCTTGAGGCCAGGAGTTTGAGATCAGCCTAGGCAACACAGAGAGACCCTATCTCTATAAACAAAAACAACCACAGAGAGAGAGAGAAAGAGAGAGAGTATGGTGTATGGATAGCTCTTAATCAATACTCAAAAAATGTCAGTTTCTTCTCCCTGCCTTCATTCCTTCTCCCTTCACCAGGAAAAACAGCTAACATCCCTTTTTCCTTAGCAGTCAACAAGCTTACATACAAAATTTATCCCAGCAACTGACTCTTGAAATTGACACATTTTGCTCTTTTTTCCATTGTTTTCATCTCATTAATTATTTTTTAAAATGGTAGTTAATGGGTCTTTTTTTTTTTAACCTCATCAAGCTTACTATTAAAGAAAAGTTGAGATAAATAATACATGGCTGGAGGCTCTTAACTAAATATACTTAATGTCTTTTATCTCCCCCTACTTCTCAAAAACCTCAGTGACATAACCCCGCTGAAGAAATATAAAAAGGCATTCAGTCACAAAAGTTCACAGAAGAAGGCAACAGGAGATGAAAGAATTCAACAAATATTTGGAAGGTAGAAGGCAGGCGCAGGGAGGTTAACCGACTTGAAGCAGAGGAAATTGCAAGCAAGTGCCAAAAAGAGGAGCTTACCAACAAGAAACCAGCCATTTCAGCCAGTTTGAGCTCTAAGAGGCTTAATGATTGAAAGCACAAATTACCACCGAAGGTCAGAAATGAGGTATGGAGCCCAGCCTAGGGGAATTCCCTGACCTCTGTGTGCAGAGCACTTCGCCCGCACTCCAGAGCCTCAACCGCTGAGAAAGAAATGACTCTCAACTCTCTTGCTGCATGAAGAGGAAGGAAGTTGGGCTCTGTAGGCCTCCTTGCACAGGGACCTCAGGCAGAGTTTGAAGGGCAGGAATGAGACATCGAGTGGAAAACTGATCAGCAGAGGGAAGGTCTACAGACAGCATTGCGTGAGCCCTTCCCCCACCTGACTCCCAACATGCCATGGCAAGGTGTCTGTCATAGCACCCCTACTCTCTCACCCTCCCTGGGAAAGTAGGAAGGTCTTCTCCAGAGACCCTGATATCTCTATGAGGGGGTTAAAAAAAAGACCCTCCACTGGCTGATGTTTATGAATTCCCCAGTGAGAAGACTAGTTGCCTAATAAATATCCAAACACTGAAGGATACAGTGATTTAAAGAGCCCACCAAGGGCTTACTATAGTGAATGAAAAAAGACCTTCACCAAAGCATATCATCATACAACTTCAGAAAGATTTCAAAATCATCAGGAGTGAAAAAAAATAGACAAAGGCACAGGAATCAGAATGACTTCACATTTCTCATCAGCAACAGCAACTGGGGAGGGTGAACCTGAGGGAGGCTTTTATTTATTTATTTATTTATTTATTTATTTATTTATTTTGAGACACAGTCTTGCTCTGTTGCCCAGGCTGGGGTGCAGTGTTGGGATCACAGATCACTATAGCCCCAACATCCTGGTCTCATTCGATCCTCCCACCTCAGCCACCTTAGCCTCCCAAGTATCTGAAAGTACAAGTGTGTGCCATTGTACCAGGCTAATTTGGGGGTGGAGGGATGGAGGTCTCACTGTGTTGCCCAGGCTGGTCTCAAACTCCTGGGCTCAAGTGATCCTCCTGCCTCAGCCTCCCAACATACTGGAATTATAGACATGAGCCACCACATCTGGCTAGATAGCTTTTCTTTTTTTTTTTTTTTTTTTTTTTTGAGACAGAGTCTCACTCTGTCACCAGGCTAGAGTGCCAGAGAGTTCAGTGGCACAATCTGACTCACTGCAACTTCCACTTCCCGGGTTCAAGGGATTCTCCTGCCTCAGCCTCCCAAGTAGCTGGGACTACAGTTGCGTGCCACCACACCTGGCTAATTTTTGTATTTTTAGTAGAGATGGGGTTTCACCATGTTGGCCAGGATGGTCTCAATCTCTTGACCTCATGATCTGCCTGCCTCAGCCTCCCAAAGTGCTGGGATTACAGGCGTGAGCCACCGCACCCAGACCAGATAGCTTATTTCTAATACGGAGTTATATACCCAGCCAATCCAACATGTCAAAAACGATATTTTTAGGCCTTCCAGGACAAAACGAGGGAGTACACAAAGAAGGAAGAAGATGTGAGAGCCAGAAAATGGGCATCCATCGAAAAACTCGGCAAGAGGAAATCCCAGGACGACATTTACATACCAGCCTTAGTGAGCAACCAGTCTAAACTATAGTAGAAAGAGATCTGTGGGACAGAGGTTTCCAGGAAAAGATGGAATTAATCAGTTACGAATTGAACATTTGGAAGACTAATCACTACATATTTGGAACATTTGGAAGAAAATAGCCCTTGGTACTTCAAACCAAACAATAGAAAAAACAAAATGACAATTATTAACTCCAGATGAAACCAAACTGTAAGAAAAAAATGTAATAGTAGTTTGCTACTTGAGTGAAGAGTTTATTTACTTGATCAATCATGTTAATATGCCGGGCGCGGCAGCTCACACCTGTAATCCCAGCACTTTGGGAAACTGAGGCAGGCAGATCACTTGAGCTCAGGATTTTGAGACCAGCCTGGCCAGCAGAGCAAAATCCGATCTCTACTAAAAATACAAAAATTAGCCAGGCGTGGTGACACATGCCTGTAATCCCAGCTACTCAGGAGTCTGAGGCAGGAGCATCGCAGGAACCTGGGAGGCAGAGCCTGCAGTGAGCTGAGATCATGCCACTGCACTCCAGCCTGGGTGACAGAGTGAGACTGCATCTCATAAAATAGTAATAATAATAATGTAAACCCTACTGATTGAACTGTAAAGTATGGCAAATTATGTTAGAGGATAGAAAGAGAAAAAATGGGAGCTAGAGTGGAGCAATCAAACTGATTCCTCTGCTGGGCAAGGTGGCATGCACCTGTAGCCCCAGCTACTCAGGAGGCTGAGGCAGGAGGACTGCTTGAGGCCAGAAGTTTGAGGCTGCATGCAGTATGCTATGATCATACCTGTGAATAGCCATCGCACTCCAGGCCAGGCAACATAGTGAGACCCCATCTCAAAAAAAAAAAAAAAAAAAAATGAAGACCTAATTCCTCCACTGCCAGAATGATAAATACATAAATATTACCTAAGGTTGATACATCGAATGATAGCAGTGTATTAGTTTGCTAGAACTGCCATAACAAAGTGTTATAGACTAGATAACTTAAATGACAGAAATTCATCATCTCACAGTTCTGGAGGCCGGAAAGCTAAGATCAAGTTGTCACAGGGTTGATTTTCTCTGAGGCCTCTTTCCTTGGCTTGCAGATGGCCATCTTTTCCCTGTGTCTTCACCTGGTTTTCTCTCTGTGTGTCTGTATCCTAATCACCACTTATAAGGACACCAGTCATACTGGATAAGGGCCCACCCTAATGACATAGTTTAAGCCTAATTTCCTCTTTAAAGACCATAGCTGCAGTTACAACCACATCCTGAGGTACTGGTGGTTAGGACTTCAACATAGGAATTTGGGGAAAACACAGTTCAGCCCATAACAAGTAGTGTAAGCTCGTTATTTGGAAATACAAGGGTAAACAGCAGAAGAAATAGCCAAAAGAGTTTAAAGTGGCCTCTGTGAGGAGAGACTGGAGGGCAGCAAAGGGTGAGGCAGGTGCTATTACTATTTGATTTTTTCAAAATAGCAAGTGGCAGAGCTGAGCCTTGAACCCAGTCTGACTCCACATCTCATGTTCTTCCACTCTGCCCCAAGCGTAGGAGCTCCTCCAGGGCCCTGCAGTGCCGTATTCATCTCTGCGTCTCCCATGGTACCTTACACAGAGCCGTATGATGGGCCTTCAGCACATACATAAGATTTACAGCTGCATCACAGTGACTTTTAAAGCTGCCATTTGTTGATGCTTCTTTTCCTGTCTTCAAAGAAGATAGGGGAGACTGAGGTCCAAGGAAACATGGAGGAGCCATAATGTGGAGTGCCCTGCTTAGAGTTCCCTGCCTTTGGTGTCCTGGAATCACTGGGTGCATCTCTAATAGCACATTGAGTTTTGATACTAGAAACGGTCCATTTAAGGCAGGGTAGGGGCACAGGATGCTTTCCTGCCTGATAAAGCTAGTGGTGGTGTCTCAAGCCCACCTCCCTGGGGTCTAGAACAGATATTCACCCCATTTTCTTCGTGTCAGTTTGGCCGTTGAAGGCAGCCAGAGCTCCCTAAGTTATTCTAAGACTTAGGACTGCAATGGCATTCACGGTGATTGATGCATGATCCCATGAGGGGCTTTGTTCATTTTTGTGTTTAGGTTGGTCTGCAGTCATTCACCTGGTTCTTAAGTCCAGCTAGATTTCGTGGTTGTCTCCATCCCAGAGGCTGTGTGGACGCCCTTCTGGAAGCACACATCCCATGTCCTCTGGGGAGCAGTAGAGGTTGGTGTGTATGTATGTCTGTCTCCGCATGCCTCAGATTATTGCTTCCTAATAAAATTCTGATAGCTGGGCCCCATCAATATCTCAAATACATGTGAGCAAACGTTAATTTAGAATCAATTTTAGGATGTTTCAGACTGTAAAGTCCTTTTAACTAGATCTCTGGCGAAGATGTAGAAGCACTTTATGGGACTGTAAATTTCATGTTGAACAGTCTTCGTGAAATACACATCTCTCCTACACACAAGCTGTTCTCTCCATATCAATCATGGCCCCTGCAAGTAATGTTTCACAAATATTCTGTAAATCACAGAAAACCCCATGATAATGTGAAATATGACTTTCACTTGTCTGTTAGACAAAAGAATCGCACATGCCTCTCTCCCATCAGCACTAACATTTGTTATGGATAATAACACTTTCAATCACAACTATTTTTGGAAAACGGGTTTATCTTAAACCTTCCCTCCCCCACTGAAAACACTCTCCCAAGGACACAGACTCCTACAAACCACAGCCCATTAATCCAACTATGGAATGGGAACGTTTTCTTCCCACTAACTTTTTTTAAAGTTGTTTTTAAGAGTTAGTGTAAAAGCCCGAGGTACAAGGTTAAGGAGCACTTTAACTTAGGTGATTGGCGTAAGAGGGAGGCCATGTCTCTCAAGACCTCAAGCCTCTGACCCTGTATGAAGTAAGCCACAAGAGAGGCCCAGATTTTGTTTTTTTGGGTTTTTTGTTTTGTTTTGTTTTTTGTTTTTTGGGTTTTTTTAAACACAGTCTCACTCTGTCGCCCAGGCTGGAGTGCAGTGGTGCGATCTCGGCTCACTGCAACCTGCCCCCCGCGTTCAAGCGATTTCTCCTGCTTCAGCCTCCCAAGTAGCTGGGATTACAGGTGCCTGCCACCACGCCCAGCTAATTTTTTATATTTTTAGTAGAGACGAGGTTTCGCCATGTTGGCCAGGCTGATCTCAAACTCCTGACCTCAGGTGATCTGCCCTCCTGGGCCTTCCAAAGTGCTGGAATTACAGGCATGAATCACCACGCCCAGCCTTAGCAAGCACTTTTATCTCAGCTGGATGCTGTGGTCTTTTAGTTGCTGGCATCAGTAGAGAAGCCAAAGAGCTAAAATTTTAGTTCTTAAAGAGCAGACATTTAGCACATTGATATTCTTAATCCCATTAAGAATCTCCAGCTAGAGCCTCCCTGTTCAACCAGATGTCCAGTCCTAGAGTATATTTTGCACATAACTACACTCATGTGTATGATAGAGCCACACCCTGCCTTCAGTTGATTGCTAGAAAAATAATGGAGTTGTGTGATTCTAAATATTCTGGTAACCTCTCTGTTTTCCCTCCCTCTGTAGCCAACTTCAGGACTGATTGATCATGACTTCTATAAAGGAACAGGCAGCAATTAGCAGGCTCTTAAGTTTTTTACAGGAGTGGGACAATGCTGGCAAAGTCGCAAGGAGTCACATCCTTGACAAATTTATTGAAACCAACCAAGGCAAGACTGCCCCTGAACTGGAGCAGGAGTTTTCCCAGGGAGCCAGTTTGTTCCTGGTACGCTTGACCACCTCACTTAGAATCACGTATCCTTTGCCGAACAGAAAAAAAAATTAGGCACCGGGCACAGTGGCTCACGCCTGTAATCCCAGCACTTTGGGAGACTGAGGTGGGCAGATCACAAGGTCAGGGAGTTCGAGACCAGCCTAACCAACATGGTGAAACCCTGTCTCTGCTAAAAATACAAAAATTAGCCGGGCATGGTGGCAGGTGCCTGTAATCCCAGCTACTCAAGAGGCTGAGGCAGGAGAATCACTTGAACCCGGGAGGCAGAGGTTGCAGTGAGCCGAGATCACGCCACTGCCCTCCAGCCTGGGTGACAGAGTGAGACTCTGTCTCAAAAAAAAAAAAAAAAAAAAAAAAAAAATTAGGCAACCTTCAAAAATGAAAAGGAGAGGAGATTGTCAAAGGAGTTTTCTCTTGATTCTAATATTTTAGAACAGGACATCTGGTGTTAAAAAAAGGTGATTAAAAAAATCCTTAGAGTCAAGAACTCTCTCAGCTTCCTGTCTTCCCAACCTACGATTGTATCTTCTTTCTCACCCCTAACCTCTTTTGCTACCATCAGAGTTGAAGTAGGTATACCTTCTGTCTAGGGCTAATCCTCTATTTGTACTGCACTTGAACCCCTTCCTATCTCCTTATTCTTTCTCTCCTATAGCTTTCACCTTTGCCTCATAACCAGCATTTTTTCAGCATTTATATATGCTGAAATATCTTCTACTTTAAAAAGTAAAATTGAATCCCTATTTCAAATCTATATTCCACCCAACCCCAGTTTCTGCCCTTCATGGCGAAGCTTCTTTTTTTGTTTGTTTGTTTGTTTGTTTGAAACAGAGTCTCTCTCTGTGGCCCAGGCTGGAGTGCAATGGCTCAATGTCAGCTCACCACAACCTCCACCTCCCCGGTTCAAGCGATTCTCCTGCCTCAGCCTCCCGAATAGCTGAGACTACAGCCATGTACCACCACACCTGGCTAATTTTTGTATTTTTAGTACAGACAGGGTTTCACCATGTTGGCCAGGCTGGTCTCAAACTCCTGACCTCAAAGTGCTGGGAGTACAGGCATGAGCCACCGCACCCAATGAAGCTTCTTGAAAAGATTGCTGAGGGGCCGGGTGCAGTGACTCATGCCTGTAACCCCAACACTTTGCAAGGCGGAGGTGGGCAATCACCTGAGGTCAGGAGTTTGAGACCAGCGTGGCCAACATGGGAAACCCTGTCTCTACTACAAATACAAAACTTAGCAGGGCACGGTGGCACACGCCTGTAATCCCAGCTACCCAGGAGGCTGAGGCAGGAGAATCATTTGAACCTGGGAGGCAGAGTTTGCAGTGAGCCAAGATCACGCCATTGCACTCCAGCGTGGGCCGCAGAGACAGACTCCATCTCAAAACATTTTTTTTAAATTACAAAAATAAAGGTTGTTGAGTCTCTCTGTCTCCACTTCCTCTCCTCCCTTTTCTCCACTCACTGCCATCTGACTTCCGTGCCTCCCACTCTATTGATGCAGGTCTTGCCAAGATTACCCACGTTTTTCCAGTTGCAAAACCCAGGGACTGCATCCTCAGTCCTTTTATGTGACCTCTCAGTGGCATTTGTCAGTCAACCTTTCCCACTTCTCAAAACACTCCTGGTTTCTGTGATACCGATTATCTTGGTTTCTATGCATTTCCCGCCCTTCTTCAGCCACCCCTTAAATGCTGTTCCTTGGGATTCCATTGTCATCCCTCTTCTGTACTCACTCTCAGATTCTCCCTGAGAGACTAGCTCGTTGTCAAGATTCAACACCACACTTGTATGAGGGCTTTCAAATAAGTATCCCTGCCCAAATTTCTCTCTTGAATCAGAGTTCCATACCTATATATCCAACTATTCCATACCCATATATCCATCTTCACTCATATGCCACAAGATGAGTGTCACATATCTGGCTTAGTAAACTAGGGGAATAGAGTGCCATTATGTGGAAGAGAACATAAGAAGAGGAGTAAGTTTGAGGGTAGATAAGCTTGTTTTGGGACATGTTGAGTTTGAGATGTCTGTGCTGAGGATCCCTGGAGGCAGGTCAAGGCTAGAGACAGATCTGGTCACCATCAAGGTGATACTTCAAGTTATAGGTAGATTTGAGGATATTCCTGCTCTGTGTGCCCGTGGCAGTCTACGGATTTATCTCAGACCCTTTTATTGTATATTTCTCTCCTTGCCTGAACCCTCTCACCTTCTCTAAACCCCCTCCTTGACCCATGCACAGTGGCTTACACCTATAATCCCAGCTACTTGGGAGGCTGAGGAGGGAGGATCGCTTGGGCCTTGGAGTTTGAAGCTGCAGTAAGCTATGATCACACCACTGTGCTCCATCCTGGGCAACAGAGCAAGATCTCATCTCTATAAAAATAAATAAATAGGCCAGGCGCGGGCTCATGCCTGTAATCCCAGCACTTTGGGAGGCTGAGGTGGGCGGATCACGAGGTCAGGAGATTGAGACCATCCTGGCTAACATGGTGAAACCCCGTCTCTACTAAAAAACACAAAAAATTAGCCAGGTGCGGTGGCGGGTGCCTGTAGTCCCAGCTACTCGGGAGGCTGAGGTAGGAGAATGGTGTGAACCATTCTCTAAAACTGCCACCTTGCCCGGCTAGTTTTTTTGTATTTTTTTGTAGTAGAGACGGGGTTTCACCGTGTTAGCCAGGATGGTCTTGATCTCCTGACCTCGTTATCTGCCCGTCTCGGCCTCCCAAAGTGCTGGGATTACAGGCTTGAGTCACCGCGCCCGGCCAATTTTTCTGTTTTTAAAATTTTTGTAGACATGGGGTCTTGCTATGTTGCCCAAGCTGGTCTCAAACTCCTGGCCTCATGTGATCTTCCTACTTCAGCCTCCCAAAGTGCTGGGACTATAGGTGTGAGCCATCATACCTAGTCTGTTCTCAGATATTATTGTGCATAAAAGAGGTTTAAAATGCAGATTACCAGTTACCTATCCACCCACACCCCCAAGGTTCTGCTTTAGTAGATTGAGGGTGGAACCCCAGACCCTTATTTCTAACAAGTACTCTGTGTGGCTCGAGTGCCAGTGGCCCACGGGTTATGCTTTGAGAAACATTGCTGCCTATAACCTGGCTCCTGTCCCCACAACCCATGACACTACCCTAACCAAGGCCCTAGCTTTGTTGCCAAGACTTTTTTTCTTCCCTGTCTTACGGGACAATATTTTCCATTTGGCCACAGGGTGAAATGACTAGGGGTTGTACAGGGTGGGATGAGGAAGGCAGGGTCACACAGGGTGAGACAAGTAAGGCAGGGTCGTACAGGTGCAGGGTCAGATCCTGTCTGTTTAACACTGTGATGTCTTATTCATCTCATCATGGATTTGTTGTTGTTGTTTGAGACAGAGTCTCACTCTCACTCTGTCACCCAGGCTGGAGCACAGTGGTGCCATCACAGCTCACTGCAGCCTCAACCTCCCGGGCTCAAGCCATCCTCCCACCTCAACCTCCCAAGTGGCTGGGACTACAGGCATGCACCACCACACCCCCAACTAATTTTATTATTTTTTGTAGAGACAGGATCTTGCTGTTGCTGTTTCCCAGGCTGGTCTCAAACTCCTGTGCTCAAGCGACCCTCCCACCTTGACCTCTCAAAGTGCTGGGATTACAGGCTTGAGCCACCGCGCCCGGCTGCATGGACTTCTTAATATTAATTTGATTATTTTAAATAGCGCATTGAAATATCATTTGATAACTGAGTTTTTTGGTGCCCCTTTAAATTTCAGACCCCAGGCAAGTGTCTCCCTCACCTCACCCTAGTCCTGGCCTTGCTTGACCACTGCCTCCTCTTCAGCTGTCCTCTCTTCTACCTTCTCCCGCTATTTCTCAGTTGCTATTGCAGGATCTCTCCCACTCCAATCCCCCACTGAAATGTCAGTGTGTCTGAGCATTCTGTGTTTTTCTTACTTGGTCATTGCACTTATTACATTAGGCATTACATCATTCTTCTTCACTTCTCAAGTGCCAATCATAGTGCCTAACATTTAGTGGGTACTCAGTCAGTGCTTACTAAATGAATGAACCATGCTTTTACTAAACAGTTGTAGAATCAGTGTTCTACACCTAGAATTATTCATAATTCCCTAACCTTTTGCAACCTTGTCATACAACAGAAAAAATAGACTGCCTGAGGTGATAACAGTGTTTTGAATTAATAAACCGACTTCTCCTACTCAGCCCTCCAGTTACGGTGGATTTTGGAGGAAAACAAGTCAATATAATAGCATCATAGCATCATTATTTTTTGCAAAATTGACTACCACAAAGTCCCATATAAGCCTAAACCCTTTTCCCAACCTTGAACTTTCAGAATAGATCAGTAAAACTAAGGATTTGCATATTAAATGATAAAATTAGTTACCATTTTTTGAGTCTCTTTTGTTTTGTTTTGTTTTGTTTTGTTTTGTTTTTTTGGAGACAAAATCTCACTCTGTTGCCCAGGCTGGAGTGCAGTGGCACAATCTCGGCTCACTGCAACCTCCACCTCCCGAGTTCAAGCGATTCTCTTTCCTCAGCCTCCTGAGTAGCTGGGATTACAGGCATGCGCCACCATGCCCAGCTAATTTTTATATTTTTAGTAGAGATGGGGTTTCACCATGTGGTCCAGGCTGGTCTTGAACTCCTGACCTCAAGTGATTCACCCTCCTCAGTGCTGGGATCCCAAAGTGCTGGGATTACAGGCACGAGCCACTGGGCCCACCCTATTGAGTCTTCTTATGTTCTAGGCACTGAAATTATATACTGTGCAAATATTATCTCATTTGGGCCTAACACCCAGCCTAATAGGTGATTGGTATTATTCTATTTTATAGATAAGAAAGATGAGCCTTGAAAAGGTCGAGTAATTTACTAGCAAATGGTAGAGATAAGGTTAGAACCCGGTGTCTGTCCGAAAGCCTATACACCATCGTGTCTCCTACTCAGTGAACCATGCAGACCACAGCTCCACCTGCGACACCACACTGGGAGTTCATCTGCAAAGCCCCCTCCATCCATTTGTCTACAAGCCAGAAAGCCTAATAGTAAGAGTTAGAATCGGAGTCAGACTGTCTAGGTTCAAATCCCGGTTCCAGCAGTTCACTGTGGGACCTTGTACAAGTTATTGACCTGAGATTGTTACCTCATGTTACTCAGTAAGTAAATGGAAATGCTAATAGCACCCACTGGAGGGCCATGGTGAGGATTATATGAGACAATGCAAGCAAAGCAGTTAGCACAGTGCCCCGCACACAATAGGAGCTGGTACTTGTTAGCTACTGTTGACCTTGTGGCCCCAACATTGCTCCTTCATCCCCTGTTCTCTAGATCCAGGACTCAAACAATATGTTCTGGAACCAATTCCTGGAAATAGTAGACCAGAAATATGTACAGTGAGTGACTATGAAAACAAGACTAGTTGGGTGTGGTGGCTCACGCCAGTAATCTCAATACTTACGGGAGGCAGACACAGGAGGATTGCTTGAGCCCAGGAGTTCAAAACCAGCCTGGGCAACATAGCAAAACTCCATTCTCCACAAAAAGGAAGAAAAAAACAAACAAAAAATAAAGCTGGCATGCTGGCTCATGCCTGTAATCCCAACACTTTGGAAGGCTGAAGCAGGAGGATTGCTTGAATCCAGGAGTTTGAAACCAGTCTGGGCAACATAGTGAGACCCATGTCTCTACAAAAAATACAGAAAAAAAAAAGCGGGGCGTGGTGGCACGTACCTGTAGTCCCAGCTACTCAGGAGATTGAGACAGGAGGACTTCCTGGGCCCAGGAGTTCAAGTCTACAGTGAGCCGTGATTGCACCACTGTGCTCCAGCCTGGGCAACAGAGTGAGACCCGCTCTCAAAAAAAAAAAAAAAAAAAAAAAAAGAGTAGCCCAGGACAGAGGAAACAGAAGGTGACAAAAACAAAAGTTTGTCAGCCTAGCCTGAAGAAAAAGGGGAAAATGCACTGAGGCAGGAACGGGGCAGAGGTTGAAGGAGCAAGGTGGGGACAATGTAGGAATAAAAAGACCACCACGTGGGCTGATGCCTGGCCCCAGCTATGGCGGCAACAGGCAGGGGAGCCTGGCTCCAGAGCAAACACTATTTTTGCAGTAAAGAGCCTTTCCTAATGAGCCAATCTGTCTCTACTTCTATTGGCATCCTGGGAACCAGGGTGCAGCAGAGATAATTTGCTTCACACACCCCCCGCCCAAACAAAGCACCATTACCTCCAACCCATTACATTAGCCTTTATCAGCCTTGGAAGCTCTCAGTCATCCTCCATGAGCTGCAATAATTTCAGCTAATTTCTTAAGTGTTCTAAGAGCCTCTGATGTGTTATGAGCCTAGTAATTGTTGACTGGTTCCTATTCTGTTGTGGCTTGATTTCATACCTTGTATCCGAGCTGATGCGTGCTTTGGATACTTGATTATAATGAGGCTTTTTGCAAAGACTCACATTAAAAAATAACATTAAATACTGAGGTTGGTTTAAATCAGAGTTTAATTTTTCCACCATCTCCTATTATTCTTATTAGGAAGCCAATTCTTCATAAGGATAGTGACCTCCAGTGTAAAACTTTGAACAAGTACAAAAATTGAGAATTAATGATGAAGCTGGTTCTTTTTAGGGAAATCTAAGAATGAGGCACAAAGTCATGAACTATGCTGAGACCAAGGCTGCAACGGGCACGGCTTAGAGAGGTTTGGGATATTGACTCCCAGCCTTCTCCAAGGGTCCTTAATTCATCAGAGCCTCCTTGTTCCCTAGAGAGCCTATAAGAGCCAAGGTGGCTGAACGGCCACAGAGGAGCTTCCTGGAGAACAGTGAACAGCCAGCACCCCCTTCCCCCGCATCCTGTGTGTATTGCCACTTCCCCTTCAGCTGGTAGCCCCTCTCAGGGTAAAGGGGCACAGTTCAGCTACTTGGCCACCCTGAACCCTGGGTGGTACCAGAAATTAGGCACAGACTCTGGCTTCTGTGTGAAAAACCACCCTGAAAGTCACTCTTTAACGTGTCATACAGCTATGTCACTGACTCATGTTTAGAAAAGCTTCTCAGGTCCATTGGCATCTTCTTATCAGCTGTAAGCAGGTGAGTTCTGTTCTAGCGTGATTCTGGGGATCTCAGTGGCATTTCAGGCTCATGATGTCCTTGGCATTCACATCACCCAGGGCCACGGATTCCTGTTAGCAGTGGGTTCCTCGTAGCTCTCGAGATGGGCCCAGAGGTAATGTCCACAGGGCTCCTGCTCTAGTTGCTCCCCCATCCCGTGCTCTCCAGTGGCGCTTCACTAGACAGCACTCTCTTGGTTGTCAACTGCAGAAAACCACCTCATATTGGACTTAGAAAAAGAAAAATTATTGGCTCACTTAACTGGAAAAGCCCAGAGGGTAGAAATACACATTTCAGCCCTGACTAGATCCAAGCCTCAAACAATGTCATCAGTACTTGGCCTCCCTCTCTGTCTTTTTCCCCATTTCTGTATCTTCTCCTCTGTGTTCATAGACCTCTGTGTGCCGTGGTCCTCAGGAGCTCTAGACACACCAAAAACAGAGCAGATCCTTTCCACAGCTTCCCAAGAAAGTCCCAGGCTCTGAGCCTCATTGGATCAATTTAGGTCCCATGCCCAGCCGCAAACCAACTTCTGCAGTCAGAAGGGTGACATACCCTGTCACCTCCTCACCCCACCAAAACTACATGGCCCATGAGAGGCAGAGGGGTGATTCCCCAAGTGACAGTTGAGGTGGTATTACAAGAAGAAGGAGAAGAGATGCTGGAATGGCAAAACCAAAAACTGTCCCTAGTATAGAATTCCAGCATTTCCTGCTGGAAGGAAGAATTTCCACACTCTTGTGTCACTTGACCTATGGACATTTCCTGGATAGGAGGGCAAAGTATGTGAAAGGGGACCTTGGGATCTCTTTGAAAGCTCAGTGCAAAGGAACTTGACAAGAGCCTTATTTCTACTTTTCTATCCCTCTGGACAGTAATCGGTACCTTATAGAATTTCTTGAGGTTGGAGGTGTCCTGACACTCTTGGAAATACTTGGGCTGGAGAAGATCAAGGAGGAGGCCAAGAAGGAATCTGTCAGACTACTTCAGGTTATTGCAAACTCTGGCAGGACGTACAAGGAGCTCATTTGTGAAAGCTATGGTGGGTACTGTGTATGACAAGATGTGTTTCCCTAGGGACCTCAATGAAATGGTGGCAGAACCCACCACTGCTATAGGAAAAACACATCATAGAACTGGTTGAACAGGAAGCTTTTTGTGCTCCTGTTCATGTCACCACTAGAAAACCCAGATTTATGATTCTCCTGATTCATCATTTGGTCACATTTTTCAGTAGTGGTTTTAGAAATACTTCTCCTTTTTAAATATATCCTGTTTCAGGCATCCATTCAAAGATTTATTGAGCTGTGGCCCAATATCTTTTGTGAAATTGAGTTATGAGGCCGGGCGCGGTGGCTCACACCTGTAATCCTAGCACTTTGGGACGCCGAAGGGGGAAGATCATGAGGTCGGGAGTTTGAGACCAGCCTGACCAACATGGAGAAACCCCGTCTCTACTAAAAATACAAAAAAGGCCGGGCGCAGTGGCTCAAGCCTGTAATCCCAGCACTTTGGGAGGCCGAGATGGGCAGATCATGAGGTCAGGAGATCGAGACCATCCTGGCTAACACAGTGAAACCCCGTCTCTACTAAAAAATACAAAAAACTAGCTGGGCGAGGTGGCGGGCACCTGTAGTCCCAGCTAGTTGGGAGGCTGAGGCAGGAGAATGGCGTGAACCCAGGAGGCGGAGCTTGCAGTGAGCTGAGATCCGGCCACTGCACTCCAGCCTGGGCAAGAGAGCCAGACTCTGCCTCAAAAAAAAAAAAAAAAAAAAAATATATATATATATATATACACACACACACACACACAAAATTAGCCATGTGCGGTGGCGGGGACCTGTAATCCCAGCTGCTTGGGAGGCTGAGGCAAGAGAATTGCTTGAACCCAGGAGGCGGAGGTTGCAGTGAGTTAAGATCTCACCATTGCACTCCAGCCTGGGCAACAAAAGTGAAACTCCATCTCAAAAAAAAAAAAAGAAAAAAGAAATTGAATTATGAATAACTCAAGAAATAAAATGGAAGGCCAGGTGCAGTGCTTCACACCTGTAATCCCAGCACTTTGGGAGGCCAAGGCGGGTGGATCACCTGAGGTCAGGAATTTGAGACCAGCCTGGCCAATGTGGCAAAAACCCCTCTCTACTAAAAATACAAAAATTAGGCCAGGCGCAGTGGCTCACGCCTGTAATCTCAGCACTTTGGGAGGCAGAGGCAGTCGTATCACGAGGTCAGGAAATCGAGACCACCCTGGCTAACACGGTGAAACCCCCTCTCTACTAAAAATACAAAAAAAATTAGCTGGGTGCTTATAATGGCAGCTACTCAGGAGGCTAAGGCGGGAGAGTCGCCTGAACCCCAAAGCTGGACGTTGCAGTGAGCTGAGATCGCGCCATTGCACTCCAGCCTGGGCTACAGAGCAAGACTTTGTCTCAAAAAAAAAAAAAAAGGAGGCCGGGCGCTGTGGCTCACGCCTGTAATCCCAGCACTTTGGGAGGCCAAGGTGGGAGGATCACGAGGTCAGGAGATCGAGACCATCCTGGTCAACACGGTGAAACCCCGTCTCTACTAAAAATACAAAAAATTAGCCGGGCACGGTGGCCGGCGCCTGTAGTCCCAGCTACTCGGGAGGCTGAGGCAGGAGAATGGCGTGAACCCGGGAGGCGGAGCTTGCAGTGAGCCGAGATTGCGCCACTGCACTCCAGCCTGGGTGAAAAAAGGAAGCCCCCCTCCCAGAAAAAAAAAAAAAAAAAAAAAGGAAAAAAAAAATTGAAATAAAATTATTGAATACCTACTGTGTGGTAGATATATGCCAAGTGCTAGGGATACAGAAATGAATACAATATAGTCCCTGTCCTCAGAGAGTTTAGAGTCTGGTGAGAAAAGTAAATAATCTAGTTTTTTTTTTTTTCTTCTTTTTTGAGACAGAGTCTCACTCTATCGCCCAGACTGGAGTGCAGTGGCGCAATATCAGCTCACTGCAACCTCTGCCTCCTAGGTTCAAGCAGTTCTCATGCCATAGCCTCCCATGTAGCTGGAATTGCAGGCAAGCACCACCATGCCTGGCTAATCTTTGTTATTTTTAGTAGAGACAGGGTTTCGCCATGTTAACCATGGTTGGTCTCGAACTCATGAGCTCAAGCGATCCACCCAACTTTGCCTCCCAAAGTGCTGGAATTATAGGCATGAGCCACCACACCCGGCTCAATAATTGTAATATAATCTATGAAGTGCTCCAAGTGAGGCATGTAAAAGAGATACCACCCCCTATATATTCCTTTTTATTTTTCTTTTTTTTTTTTTTTTTTTGAGTTGGAGTCTCACTCTGTAGCTCAGGCTGGGGTGCAGTGGCACAGTCTTGGCTCACTGCAAGCTCCACTTCCTGGGTTCAAGTGATTCTCCTGCCTCAGCCTCCCCAGTAGCTGAGACTATAGGTATGTGCCACCAGACCCAGCTAATTTTTGTATTTTTAATACAGACGGGGTTTCACCATGTTGGCCAGGCTGATCTCGAACTCCTGAACTCAAGCCATCTACCTGCCTTGGCCTCCCATAGTGCTGGGATCACAGGCGTGAGCCACCGCACCCGACTCACATCTCCCTTTTCCAAAGCACTTCCCACCCTGCATTCTCATCAAGGTTCTCCTGGCTGTCTACCCCATGGCCTCTCAAAGCCTCAGTGTCTTCATCCATAAAGTGGGAGTAACACCTTCCTCTTGGTATGGTTTCTGGGATTAAGTGAGTTAGTATTCATAAAACCATTTTGCAAACTGCTGAGTGCTATACAAGTGTTATCATGGCCAGGCGCTGTGGCTCACACCTGTAATCCCAGCACTTTGGGAGGCCAAGGTGGGCGGAACACGAGGTCAGGAGATCGAGACCATCCTGGCTAACACGGTGAAATCCTGTCTCTATTAAAAATACAAAAATTGGCCAGGCGCGGTGGCTCAAGCCTGTAATCCCAGCACTTTGGGAGGCCGAGACGGGCGGATCACTGGGTCAGGAGATCGAGACCATCCTGGCTAACACGGTGAAACCCCGTCTCTACTAAAAAAAAATACAAAAAACTAGCCAGGCGAGGTGGCAGGCGCCTGTAGTCCCAGGTACTCGGGAGGCTGAGGCAGGAGGATGGCATGAACCCGGGAGGCGGAGCTTGCAGTGAGCCCAGATCGCGCCACTGCACTCCAGCCTGGGCGACAGAGCGAGACTCCGTCTCAAAAAAAAAAAAAATACAAAAATTAGCCGGGCCTGGTGGTACACGCCTGTAGTCCTAGCTACTTGGAAGGCTGAGGCAAGAGAATCGCTTGAACCCAGGAGGCAGAGGTTGCAGTGATTCAAGATCGCACCACCGCACTCCAGCCTAGGCAACAGAGAGAGACTCCAGCTCAAAAAAAAAAGGGTTATCATATAGCAATAAAAAATGCACGTTTTATTTGTAAATTGTGCAGAGCCATTTTAAACTTTAAAACACAGATTTTGACATGCCTATGCTGAAAGCCACATAGCTTTAAGGTAAACAAGACAGTGATGCAACATCAGAACCAAGCCTCAGTTTTGCTTTGGGTGAACAGGCTTAGTTGAAGAGCTATTAATCCTATTCATATTATGTAATCTTGGGTGGGGATTATTTTCATAAAGCCCTTCCAATTTAGAATTTCCTCTCTTCTTTGCTCAGGTGTACGATCCATAGCAGAATTTTTGGCAAAGTCTAAGTCAGAAGAGACCCAGGAGGAAGTGCAGGTTCTGCTGGATTCTTTGGTCCACGGCAATCCCAAGTACCAAAATCAAGTGTATAAAGGTCTAATAGCTTTGCTGCCCTGCGAGTCCCCCAAAGCCCAGCAGCTGTCCCTGCAGACTCTCAGGACTGCCCAGGTGAGCCAAGGCTGCATGCTCCTGTGGTTCTGATTCAGATACAATAATCTTACAATTACCTTCCGCAGTTGCGCTCCACACAGGCATGAGAAACGGAGCTCAGCCTCCCACTGCATGTCTGTTGTTCAATCAGTGTTACTTCCAGAAGGCCAAGGTAGGGCAGAGAGTTCATGCCTCCCAGCAGAGTGATTTGTCCTGTTTACTTAAGGATCAGAAAGATGTTGGCAGACTTAAAAGTGGTTGAGACAAGCAACAAGGATGATGAAAGGGCTGTAGAAAAGATTAAAGGAGTCGATTTGATAGGGAAAGAATAATGGTGCATTTGTAGACAGCATGTAAGTGAAGAGGCCAGATCTCCAGTGCTGGGGAAGGCTTTTTTTTTTCCTTGTTGGCTTTTGCCCTTCTCTCAGACAGTACCCTTGGATGCAAGTGAAACCAAATTTGGGGCATGGTGAGCATATGAAGACATTGTGCCTAGTAAAGAGGGGATAGAGGCTTAAAAAGTGGCTTTAAGATGAACCATCAGGCTGGGTGCAGTGGCTCAGGCCTGTAATCCCAGCACTTTGGGAGACTGCAGCGGGCGGATCACTTGAGGTCAGGAGTTTGAGACCAACCTGGCCAACATGGTGAAACCCCGTCTCTACTAAAAGTACAAAAATTAGCTGGGCGTGGTGGCACACGCCTGTAATCCCAGCTACTTGGGAGGTTGAGTTCAGAGGATCGTTTAGCCTGAGAGGCAGAGGTTACAGTGAGCCAAGATCATGCCACTGTATTCCCTGGACAAAAAAGTGAGATCTGTCCCAAAAAAAAAAAAAAGACAAATTCAAAAATAATAACTGGCTGCCATGGCATGTGCTTATAGTCCCAGCTGCTCAGGAGGCTGTGGTGGGAGGATCGCTTGAGCCCAGGAGTTTGAGGTTGCAATGAGCTATGATGGCACCACTGTACTGCAGCCTGAGTGATAGAGTGAGATCCTGTCTCTAAAACAATTTTAAAAACAGATCAGATTATCATTATTATCTTATTTCCGCAGTTCCCATTTCTTAAGTGCCTCATACATGCCAGCCACTGTGTTAGGGGCGTAGCTACACCCTCTCTCTTAGTCTTCACTATACCTGATGAAGGCAGATACTATTCTCCCTTTTTTCAAAGATGGTGGAACTGAGCTCAGGAAAGTGTGTTAAGTGACTTATCCAAGGCCACATGATAAATAAAAGGTGTTTACCAAGCGAGAATTTAAATCCGCCCTCTCCTAAGTCCTTACTCTTTCCACATACCACTCTGCCTCTTTGAAAAAGAGCAATGATAGGGCCGGGTGCAGTGGCTTAGGCCTGTAACCCCAGCACTTTGGGAGACCGAGGCAGGCGGATCATGAGTTCAAGAGTTCGAGATCAGCCTGGCCAGCATGGTGAAACCCCATCTCTACTAAAAATACAAAAATTAGCTGGGCATGGTGGTGTGTGCCTGTAATCCCAGCTACTCGGGAGGCTGAGGCAGGAGAATTGCTTGAACCCAGGAGGCGGAGGTTGCAGTGAGCTGAGATCACGCCACTGCAATCCAGCCTGGCGCGAGACTCCATCTCAAAAAAAAAAAAAAAAAAGAAAAAG